CTCAGAGAGGGTTGTGATTGAGTGACAGCTTCCTGGGGCTTCAGTTTGTGGTGGAGACTCGGGATCAACTGTTCCCAACCTGTGGATCGCAAGCCCTTTGAGGCTTAAATGACCCTTTCACGGGGGTCACATATCAGATGCCCTGCATATCAGATATTTAAATGATGATTCATAACAATAGCAAGATTGCAGTTACAAAGTAACAATGAAATAATTTATGTTTTGATGTCACCACAACATGAGAAACTGTATTACAGGGTCTCAGCATCAGGAAGGCTGAGAACCACTGCTCAAGATGGTATACTGTGGCACCAATGACTGATGGGCAGACAGGTAGATGGACAGATACAGATATATATAGCCTAAATTGGTACATGAAGCAACACCTGCCATTACTATGTGTTCTGCACATCTTCTCTCCTCCTTGGTGGTTAGTATGGACCTAGGGCCTTGTGCATCCTGGGAAATTGTTCTTCCACTGAGCAACACTCTCAGTCCTTCTATTTGTTTGATCTGATTTATTTTCATTATTCTGGAAATGCATATTTGATAAAAAAGAAAAGAAAAGAACAATATTGGTTGGGATCAGCAGGGGTTAGCATAGAACGCTGTGGAAATGCAAAGGCGGTGCATTCATTTGCAACCGGGAAATTGAAGAACATTTCCTTACAGAGGGGAGATCGTCTCTAAGCTAATTCAAACGAGTGTGAATGGGAGGGAGAGACAGTGCAGAGACTGTCTGATCTGCCCTGTGTGCTTCCTTTGGAAAAAATGCATTTTGCTGACCTAGAAATGAAAGCACTCTCTGCCAGGCTAGCCTCTGGCTAGCGGCTCCACAGCTGGCTGGCTGTTTCCAGGCTAGCCTCAGGCTAGGGGCTCCACAGCTGGCTGGCTGTTTTTCAGAAAATAACACCACAGAGTCTATGCTTCCACAGTCTTTTCTGAGGAAATGGTTGTTTTTCTCTTGCAGTTATTTTATGGAGGAGACAGAGGAAAATCTGAGCATGCTTGGGTGGGTCGCGTTTTGCTTTGGTATTGACTCTTTTATATGGAACGAGAATCCACCCAGGTCTTCACATCAAAGTGACAGAGCAGAAAGGTGGAAATGGGAAAGAGTAAATTTGTGACTGACTGACCCACAGTCTTCAGCACCTGTGATCTCCACAGACCTGCTTCCCTGCTGTGTGTGCTTGTGTGCATATGCGCGGGCGCATGAGAGAGAGAGACAGACAGACAGACAGAAAGACAGAGAAAGAGAGAGAGAGAGAGAGAGAGAGAGAGACAGAGACAGAGAGACAGAGAGAGGGAGAGGGAGTCTGTGTGTGTGCCTTTGTAAGCCTGAGGTCATTGTTGCATATCACCCTCCATAGCTCTTCATAGTTTGTGACAGGGGGTCTTTCCCTCAGCATGGAGTTTATTTATTCCATTTGTCTGGCTGCCCAACAGCTGCAGGCACCCACCTGTCTTTGCTGTCCTCTAAACCCAGTGGCAGGCTTAGACGTATGCCCGGCTGTGCCTGGTTTCCTCTGAGGGTGCCTGGATCCAATGCCCGGCTGTGCCTGGTTTCCTCTGAGGTTGCCTGGATCCAATGCGCAGCTGTACCTGGTTTCCTTTGTGGGTGCCTGGGATCCAGTGTCTGCATTCGAACTCAGATCATTTTGTTAATGCCATAGGCTCCTGGCTTTCCCAGAAGCCCTTCCTCATCCATTCTTGGACAGAGTTTTTCTACACCGTTTTCTTTAGCAGTAGGATTTTAGTTGTGTGTTTTTTTCTAGATTTTTAATCTGTTCACTACCTTTTGTTACTGTGAAATATCTCAGAAGAAAAAAAATAGTTTATACTTTTATTCAGAAATGTCTCAGTTGTTTCAGACTAACTCTTTTTTGGTGAAGAGTCTTATTCAACTCTTTTGTCTCCATTTAGAAGATTGTTTTCCTTTCATAGAAATTTAATTTTCTGTTTTTCATTGGACTTACAAATTAGATTCAAATTCAAATGATTCTATATTTGTATTTTTTAATTACTCTTAAGAGCAGCAAGAAATATTAAAGTTTTTGGAAGGAATGTGGAAATTTCACATCACTATTCCCCTGTGGTAGTGAGATCCGCCTGCTATCCTGGCTTCAGATTTTTAGAAAGTTAAAAAACAAGATCTATGTGAAGCAGAGATGAACAGATCAGTGTTTAACTTATGTGAAATATAAGCATATAGCATTTGTGATATAGGGGCAGGAGGATTGTGAGTTCAAGGACATCCTTGGCTATATAATGAATTCAAGTCCAGCCCGAGCTACCCAAAACTGTCTCAGAAAGAAAGCAAGGGGAGATGACTTCAGGAGCAAGGTTCTGCCTCACAACAGGACCTGAGTTTTAATCAAAATGACTATAAAGCCAGCGATCTCACAGTGAGATGGAAAGTAAAGACAGGAGACCACTGCAAGCCCAAGGGCCCACTAGCTTGGCATATGAAGAAATGACCAAAGAAGAGACCAAACAAGGGAGAGAAGGTGAGGACCAGCGCCTGACTGAGACGGGTCACACACACACACATACACACACACACACACACACACACACTCATACACATACACGCATACATGCACACACATACATACACACACGAACACATATACAAACACACCATGCCATACATACACACACTCATACATATACACACATACATGCACGCACATATACAGACACCAACATATACACATACATGCCTGGATACATACATACATACATACACACACTCAGACACATGTACACACCATATGTATACATACACACAATGTTTAAGGAAACCAAACAAAAATCATTTTTGAATTTCAACAGTAAGATTTGTAACCCACGTTCTGGGTGGCAGAAATGGGATAAAGGATAATATGTCCTGATATAGGGGTCTCTTTGACTGTGAGACTTCAGCCTTATCCCTAAAAGAATAGGATTATTTGTGTGCATTGTGGTGATGTTTTTATCAATTTACTCTCGATTTTATGATGCGGTTTCCTTGAAAAGTGCCTCAATCCCAACTGTGCCTCAGACATTTAATGACCTTGAAGTCAGCTAACTCAGAACCATTGCCTTGAAGGTCTGCCTTAATCTGGATGCTAACCAGCTTTGACACTCTCCAGTGATGTCAAAGGCAGCTCACGCTGAGCAGGGTCCTCCCTGGTCCTTGTGCTCCTTCCTGACCATCAGGGTTTGACAGCTCAGCAGCCTCCCTGCTCCAGTGTGAGGAAGCCTGAGGCCCGCTGTTCATCGTTCCTTTTGCAGACTCATGTAAGCCCAACCTGCCATCCCAACATGGCATCGGTCGGATCATGTGTCAGCTCTACCGTAAACCCTTTCTTTTTAAAGTAGGGGTTATTTTATTGATTTCAAACCAAGACCTTGCCAGGGCCTTCTGTGGGAAATTTCGCAGGGATGGTTCTCCCCTCTGTCCTCTGAAGAGTGGCTTTATTCTACCCCAGCTGCTGCTCTTTAATAAGATGTTGCGGTCCCCTGTACCAAATTATTCACTCCAAGAAGAGTCCGTGCTTTTGAAGGAGCTAAAGATCTCATGCATCTCATGCATAGTGTTTCTATGTAGAAAGACGTACCACGTTGGGAGAAAGGGATTCAGAGAGTGTCTAGACTTGGATGCTCAAAGTCCTGAGCAGAGGAGATGCCATTAGGGTCGGTTTCAGGGTTGGTGCTGCATATGACGGCAGAGAGGAGAGAAAGGAAGTCGAGACCACAGGGAGAATGCTGATAAAACATGCACCAAGCAAGGATGGAACTTCCTGCTCCGTGGTAGCACAGGGGTGAGGATTGACTGACAGGGAGAGGAGCGATAACTTTAATTAAATCTAGAAACAAGTAGATGCATCGCAGGATCAGGAAGGCAAAGACCTAGAAGACGAACCATTCCAGAGGCTAAAAATAATAGTGTTTGGAGAACTGCAAACAGTTGGGCCACAGGTGAGAGCCAGTGGGCCTCTATCAAGGTGCTTTGCACAAGGGAGGTCAGCTCTTGGGGAGCGCTGTTGGCCACCTGAAGGACTGCTTTGCCTCATTCAGAGAATTGTAACATAGATTGGTTGGATGATATCAAATCAACGCCCTGTGTTGGTCTATAGGTGCTCTTCTGACTTTCAGTTCTTCAGAGGAGAAACTTGTTCTAGATGTGGTTAACCGTCTTTGAAACTAGCTGTGGGTCTCTTTCTAAAGACAGCACAGCATGACAATATTCATCAGACCTCTGTGATGCTGACAGCTCTCTGGGACTCATCACCACAGCGCTGTAGCTGTTGTGGCTTCCTGTGAGCTTGGCTGTTCTAACTTGGAAGTTAGGAGTCCCCAGCCTTGGTGCCTAGTCCCAGTAGTACTGTTCCCCTCTGTCACTGTGGAAGCTAAATTTTCAGATGCTCTTGGGGATGATGAGTTGAAAGTCATAATTCCTATTTCCCTTCCCCATCGCTGGGTGTTGGCTCTACACATTGACCACACCCAGCTGGCAATGGCAGTCACAGACAATTGATGTTGTTGTTGTTTTCAGTCCTGTTGATTGGCCCTAAAGCCTTGTGCATGCAGGACTAGTACTCTACCACTAAGCCCTATTCTCAGCCCAAAATGCAAAATGTTTTAAGAACTGGAAAAAAAAGTCTCTTAAGTTTCTTAAATTCTGAGATTTACTTGTCCCCTCCATCCAGGCTGGTCTCTACTCCTGCATGAATCTGCCACTCACAAAGCCCTTATCGAGTACTTTTCATAGAAAGAAAACTGAATTGTCCAACATTTCCATTCATAATAGGACATAATAGGCAGTGTTTTAAAGAAATAATTAGTCACTAGAATTCGATCTTCAAAGCGTTTCTGCTGTCTATCTGTTTTCGTCGGTCTGGTTTTAGCATGTTATAACATTGATCCAGGCATTAATCTTTACATGGTTGGAACAGAAAACTAACACACTCATCACAGCTCGGTCTTTTGAAATTATGTTTTTTTTCTTCTTTCAGGGTCGTCATGTCAAAACAGGACAGCTTGCAGCCATTAAGGTTATGGACGTCACAGGGGTAAGGCATTTTTTTTTTAATCACGTCATCTCATTAGCTATAGAGTTGTAGCAAAGATGTGAGTGACAGGAAAAAATATTTGCCAGAAAAGCGATCTTTCTAAATATTTCAGAACCTTAAGCATTTGTGATTCATGTGCAGAAATAAGAACTGCAATAGCCAACTGAGCAGGCCAAGAATAAATCACTCCGATTAAATTCAGTACTACTCACTGCCTCAGGCGGTTAGACAAATGTTGCGTGCCAATAATTTACAGAAACATAACCACGGACATTTGCATTTGAAGGAGAAGCAAGGATTCCAAAGTGTTAGAAGTATACCACTGAGATTACAAAGAAGAGATGGGGCTTTACTGTTTGCCTAAAGGGAAGATCTTGGATAGTTGTAAAATTCTCATACTACATTTAAAAATGAACATTTTCTGAAATAAAATATTTTTGACCAAGTAATCGCCCACACATTCCTATTTATTAGAGAGCAATTCTAACCCAAACTTGTGTGTGGATGATCAAAGCGATCGGATATTCCTTTAGTCTTTGCACTAAACACAATCTATTGCTTTTCATTTTTTTGCTTGGTCTAATTTAAAATATTTTAATAACTTTTCAAGATTATAGAATGGAAGTCAGATTTTAAAGGATTCATTGAACATCAAAAACATGTTAATAATATTCTCTTGTCCTGGGAACTCTTCTATGATATCTCTCTTTTTATGTTGTACATAAAAGCTAAAAGACAAAAGTCTCCATTTGGTCAGAAGTAAAATACTGAATATAAGCAGTCATCAGTGAATGAGTCACACAGAGATACCAATAACCAAGAAACAGATTTTAGAGAGAGAGAGAAAGGGTACACAGTTTGTCTGCATGTTAGCTGTAATGTCACAGGAGTCTGTTAACTCCAGTAATTATGAGTGTTGTAAGGCTCTCCAGAAAACCTATCACAGTCTGTAAATATCACACATAGTATCAATTGTTTGCTTATTCCTTCTTCATTATTGATCTACTTTGCCCTCTAAATTATACTTTACAGTATAATAATTAATTATATATATTATAGTATAATAATTAATTATGATTAATAATAGGAAAATCTTGTTCTTGTATTTATTACCAGTGGAGTGACACCCTAAAATGTTTACTACTGGATGTGTGGTTTTGTGTTTCTTTTTACTGTCTTTGGTACACTCAGTTTAGGTGTTGCGAACTAATTCAACTATTTGTCCTCAATTGTTGATTACATCACCTGGCATTGACGAAGAAATGCAATGGATTATTTCAATTAGCGATATGCTCTGCCACTTGAAACAGAGGATTAAGTGTGGTCAAAGGTGTCTTCTTTTTCATCATGTTGAAAAGAGTCATGAGGCTCACAATTATGGTGGCTAGTGTTAATTGTAAAGCTGATAACAATCTAGAATCTCTGAAGAGACAGGCCTCTGAGCATGCCTCTGGGGATTGTCTTGATTGTGTTAGCTGAGATGAGAAGATCTGCCCACTCGGGGTGGCACCATTCCCCTGGCTGGGATCCTAGACTATGAAATAAAGAGAACTGAGCAGCAGCGTGAATTCATGACTTTCTGGCCCTTATTCTGGGCATCATGTGACCAGCTGCTTCACACTTCTGCCTCCTTTACTTTCCTGCCTTGGGCTGAACCATTGAACAGTGACCTCAACTAAAGCCCCCTCCCATAATTGCTTTTATCAAAGCAGCTGAGAGAGAAAGGAAGACAATAGTGTGGGGTGTTGGACAGCCGTGTGCCCACACAGGGTGGTTTATCCTTCTGGTCTGTCACTTTAACTCACAGCCTCCCTGCCTGTGAGAGTCTCCATGGACTTTATCCATTAGTAAAATATGCGGTGGCATTCTTCTTGAATGCCTAGCAATGTGTCTAGTTGAAAATACAGGTTCTGTGGAATGGGGCCCACAAGGCCTTACCCCGGACTGAGAATGCACAGCTGTGGCTTCTGGGGGAAGGGAGAGGGAGTTTCCTTGCGGAATGTGCCTCCTGGTAGGTCAGCTGCACATCTGGAGGATGGCTCCACATGCAGGGGTACCCGGACAGCACAAATTACAAAGAGGACACAGAAGTAGGGGTAGGGATGGGGGAGGGAATATGGGAGGAGTTAAAAGAGAAATTGGGGAAAATATAATCAAAATGTGTTGTATAAAATTTTCAATAAATTAACTTCTTTATTTTTTAAACGAAGAAAAAAATAAAGGTCCTAAAGGGGTCCAGAAGAAATAGGAGGGAGGATGTGTAGGCTGTATAAAATCTAAATACAGTGTAAACCTACAAGAAATCACCAGAAAAGAAAGAAAATATAGCTCCTATAAGTCAGAAGTGAAGGAGTGCATATTGGAATAGTGAATTAGCAGGATATGACACAAAAATCAAAATCTGGTATAGTAAGCCTCTAATAATAGAGGCTATATATTTATAAATAAATATAAGCTTATAATATATACATAAGCCTTTTACAAAGCCCCACTACAAAATGAGATATATTTTGTTTAGCGGACCTGCTGTTGTCCTTTGATTGAGTCACCTTTCTGCACACTAAGATGCTCTTTGTGTCTCAGTGACCAATGGCTGTCATGAGACTGAGGTGACCGCACTGTGGATTAGGTTCTGTTGTGTGGCCGCTGAGTTTCACTGACATCATGGACAGGAACGCATAAAGTTGCTTACTGGCGTGAAAGTGGGACTTGGGGACAATGACCACCACTCTCCTAGTTCTTGCCTTTCCTGGGGAGGTTTTAAATTATTCCAGGAACCACAGTTAGTGCTGCTGGGCCACCTTGCTTACAATAAAAGAAAATTGTCATTCAGTTATATAGCCTGGCATATGTACTTTCAGGCCATGGAATATCAGTAAGCTTTTTTCAGCTGGGTTTCTGTTGGCAAGTAAGCCCTTTGAAAAATTATTTGCTGCTAGACAGAGACTGCCATTCTGCATGTGTTGGGGTGCCAGCCCATTTCATACCACAGGCGTTTCATGGTATATGAGCTCGGTTCTCCTGGAGAACCCATTTTCAGAAGAGCTGGCTGCGTTTCTGTGATTTAGTCACAGCATTGACTCTTATTTAACCACTGACCCTCAACAAAGGCAGATGTGCTGTACAGCAGGAAATGGGTTCATTATTGCCCTGCTGTCTGAGGCAGGATCCAGTGAGCCTCGCATCGTGTCCCTGCCAGTCACAGTCAACGACAGCTCTTCCTCTGGTAAACTCTGGTATTCGCTTTAAGAGGCAGTTGATTCCATTTCGCCACGCCGTCTTCTGTGTATTATGGAGTCCAGTGCAAACACTCCTCAACAATTATTTGAATTGTGTTCATTATGACTGTTCTGTTCAAAGCTGGGATGAGTTCGCGAAGGTCATCTTTGTTGATTGTGTTCTGTGACCTTCTGCGAAGTGACTGCAGTTTATTGCAATGAAATTGATGAGGACACAAGCTTGAAATTAATTTTCAAATTTTTGATTTTATTTTATATTGCTTCCACTTTTAGAAAAGAGTCCCAGAGTAGACCAAATGCAGAGCCCACACTCTTCCAGTTTTAGCGCTTAAACGCCTCAAAATTTGCCAGAGTGGGTTCAAAATTGCTGCTTACACTCTCTTGGTCTTCAGAGTCCTTTTAGGTTGCCTAAATCATTATGAAAATTTTCCCATTGTGAGAATTCCTTCACCGCTTCATCTGAATCTCCAATTTTCCCTGAAAGAACTGGGAGGACCTAGCCCCATCTGAGCAGCCAGCGTGAGTGGCCCCTCAGTAGCTCTGTGGTGGCCACCATGCATGCAGATTCCCAGGCCTGTTGTAGAATCCTCTCTGGCTCTCCCCTTTAACAAGCTCCTTAAGAGACACACTGGGGCAGGAGCGACAGCTCAGCAGTTAGGAGTAGAGAGTGCTCTTCCAGAGCACCCAAATGTGTTCCTGTGTTCACACTGTGGGCAATGCACAGCTGCCTAGAACATCAGTTCCAGGTGGGCTCCTGCCACTCACATACTCTACCTACATGTAGACACACATGCGTGCTTGTCATTAACAAGAATAGAAATAACTCTTTTCAAAAGAGAGAAAGACGCCACACTACCAAAGATGATGATGGGCTTTCCTTCCCTGGGATTTTGTAGATACTTTTTCTCTGGCCACCAGTGTGATGAGGCTGGGGGTCCTTGATTATAAATGTTCCCCATCTAAAGTGAAGGCTATTGGTGTAGATTAATCCCTTTATGGCAACAGCCTAAATTAAATCTAAGACATACTGACATAAGAACAATTTCTAAGCTTTCACCTTTATACTGACCAATCATGGTTGCAGTAACCAAAGCATTTTGAGTTATATAGTACTATCCTCATTCACACTAAAGGAAGCTGAAAGGTGAATTTACTAGCTTGTATACATTAAACACACACACACACACTCACAAAACTCAGCTAGGTTTAGAAATCCATATGGTATGATTCAAGGTCTGTCTCTGGATTCTGTCTACTTTCTGCTTTAATTTCCTCATTAAGTGAGACTCCATAGCAAAAAGCCAGAGTGAATATGTACAGCCTTTTGGGTCAAGGCTCTCGGCCTCTGGTTCTTCTCAGTAAAACCTGGGCTGGATACCTGGCTTTGAAAGTAAGACAGGGAAGGCGGATTCCTCAAAGGGAAGTCCTCCAGAGGATATTGTTACTACATTCATTTGACATATAAGGAATTGAAACTGTAAAACTTAAGTCAGTTACCCAAACTCAACAGATAATAAATGGCAGAGGGGGCCGGGCGGTGGTGGCGCACGCCTTTAATCCCAGCACTCGGGAGGCAGAGGCAGGCGGATCTCTGTGAGTTCGAGGCCAGCCTGGTCTAGAAGAGCTAGTTCCAGGACAGGAACCAAAAAGCTACAGAGAAACCCGGTCTCGAAAAAATCCAAAAAAAACAAAATATAAATAAATGAATAAATAAATAAATAAATGGCAGAGGGGAAATTTGAATACAGGGCTTGGGGTGTA